AGATTCACAAGCAGTTGGCTTTCATCCATTCTACCTTCAAATACAAAGTTCAATATAGCACTAGTTATTCAAGTGTTGACATCAATGAGAGGTTTATCAAAAGCAGATTTAGGCATCAGCTTACTTGACACTGTCAGCAGTAAATGAACGCCTCACAGCTAATTAGAACTCAGACGGCTAAAGTAGGCTTCTAAAAAATGGGAAATTCTAATACAGACCGTTAAATAACCTGCTTGTTTTTTTCTAGATGGCAAAAATATTTCTCCACTAATTAACTGCCTAATCTTCAGGGCTATACGCTCAGTCTCAAAGTACATTACAACTATCCTATCACTCAATAAATTGCTGCTAGTATCAGAGAAACATTTTTGGCTTGAGGATGGGCGCAACAAGGCCAAGAAAGTGACTCAATAGATTAGAGAAACGGTAGAGTTAAAGATGCTGAGAACAATCTGATTACACACACACACACATCCATTATGTTTTCAGTTTCCAACTATTCCAACTTTAGACATTTTTTTCTCTCCTGACTTCCTTTGAAAAATGACATGAGCAAATTTTTCACTGCTGTTGGAACCAGACTTTGTTGGAAGAAAGAGGCCAATACCAGGGGAAACTCTGACAAATGAATCTGTTAGGAGGAAAGAACAACTTAAAACATTCAGAGAGTTAAGGATCCAGGAGTAATTGCAATTTGGCTGGGCAGGGCCAATGTGGACTTACATTTAGTAACTGACTCACAACCAACATTTCATGGTGCTTTAGCATTTATGAGGCATTTTTACTTATACTGCCAATTGGCCCAGGCTCTAATAAATCTCCACTAGAGCATATTTGGTACATACACTTATACTGGGATGTAATAGGTATTATTTTTGGCAGTCCAGCTGTTTATTCCCCATCTTCCCTTTTCTGGCAGCTGACTCAGGCCTGGCCAATCACAACACCCATTCCCTGGAACCCATAGAGGACCAATCAGGGTCTTCCCCTGGAATTTTGATGTATAGCCAATGTAGTTACCCATCCACCCGATGCTAGAAGGCTGGAAGGTAAGACAGGAGCTGTAGAGGAGAACAATGGACTTGGAGAGAGCTTAGCAGATTGGACCCAGGAGCAATCTACCTGAAGCCAGACCCCATGGGATGTCTTAGTTAGGTGAGCCCAAAAGATCTGTTTCTGGCTGAGCTAGTTTGGGTTGAATATCTGTCACGAGTAAAGCGTCTTGATTGATACCACCATTTATACAAGCTGCAAATCAGGCTCAGCTTGAATTGAGCCTCTTTGATTAAAGCCTTTGCTGGATGACTCTCCTCATTGTAGCCACATACTCCCTGATTGTACCAAACAATGGGCACAGTGTTGAATGCAATGGCAATATTCTCTGATGGTTTTCAAACATATTATCAGTTGTATTGAAAGTCCTGTGAGAAAAGATAATACGGTTCCATCTAATAAACAGGAGGTAAGAAAGTTTTAAGTCATTTGGTTAGAACAGCAGAGAAGTAAAGTAAGAGATTCTTAAGTTCCCAGGCTAGCTCAAAGAAAGCCTATTTTAGGAAAATGTGTACAATGGCAGAGAATAATGGAGGAGTCATAGACAAACTATTGCTTAGAAGAAAGTAAGTCTGATTTGAGAAAACAAGGAGGTAGAAACAGAATTTTCTGGACTATCTGGAGGAGCTTTCGAGTTGTGTTGGTCTTCTTTTATAAAAATTAGTTTTAACTTTTGCCAAACTTACACATTCACATGGTTTAAAGAGGTGAATAGTTCACAAAAAAATAGCAGTTTCCAAACCACTCTGCCTGAGTTTTCTTCCTTTTGGAGGCAACTGCTTTTAAATCCTTTAGTTCTTTATTTGGGGGACATTTAACCCTAACACATTTGTCTTAGTCACTTTTTTATTTTTTTTAAGGCATTATCTTAATTTCCACTAAGGCATGTAAGAATTTAGCTTCCATCCTCACCCTGGTACACATTGCTCACACCCTCATCTTCTTGATGTAATTCTATCATAATTTTGGTCAGATCAATATTTAGTGTTTCACATTAGTATCAGTAGATACATGAAAGTCACTACTGAGCCATATACCAAGATTACTTTTCCTTTCTATCAAAACTTTCTATCAAAGTTTTCCCAGAAATAATAGTTATCTCATATTTTGTTTTCATGGGCAGGGCTACTAGTAATTTAATGATAACCTCCTATCTTTTTTTTTTTTAGTCCCATCTTTCTGGAACTGTTATCATATAGTTGATCTGGTCCATCTTTTATTTTCATTTATGCCTTTTATCCCTTAGGTGTTTTTTTGTGTGTTTTTTTTTTTTCAAAATGGGGTGGGCAAAGTAAGTTTACAGTTCTTCACATGGAAAATAATAAATCTCTCCATATAAAAGGCTATTATGCTAAGTGTCTTTCCAACCACCCGACAGTTCGCTGTGACACACACTGGTCACCAGGAGCTGCCATGATGCACACTGGCCATTTACAAAGAAACGGCACCTTGGACCTGGCGCCGACAAAGCAACACTCAGCTTCCCCTAAGTGGGACACAGGTCCTTCCACCACCCTGGAGTGACAGCCCACCAAATTGCAGCTAATGCTGCCAAGACTCCATAGTGCAAAATGTGGCCCATAGCCCAGCCCAGCCCAGCCTGAAAATTGTTGCTGTGGGCGCTGGGTAATGGATGTCACATAGCGACTGGCCTCCTTGAAGTTTCTTCAGCCCAGGAAGACAACTTGCTTATAGCGAGGTGCAAAAATTTTACCCTTTAACCAAATGTCTGTTTCCCATGCCTCATCTCATTTGATCCTCACAGAAGTCCTAGAGTAGGTAGATAGGAGACTCAGTGGAATCCTATTTTCTTTTCATTAGCCGGAAAATGAGATTAGAAAGTTTAGAAACTTGACCCGATGGAAAAGAAGTAAGAAATGGTGGACCTTGAAAATGACTTCAGGTTTTCTCACTGCACAGAATATAGTCGAACCCTGCTGCAGTTGAATATTTTACCTTTGTTCTCCTTGTGGGATCTATAATAATAATCTGCTTTGTGTTGATATTTACTGCTGTGCTGCTGAAAGAGAAGTTGGGGTGCCTCACTGGACTGGTAAAAGTTTAGCTAAATCAGAAAGCACGTCTAATTAAGCAAGTTTATTCTATGTATAAAAGGCTAAGCTGACTTGCCCATAAGAGATACATATAAAGCTCTCAATGGCGCCAACTGCACGTGTGTTTCCATTAGTCATTGTCAATTGTGCATTTGGTTGACACTTCTATTATAGAGAAAGGTCGAATAGTGATATTAAAATATTTCTTCTAATTAATTTCCTTTCAATGTGCACGAATCCATGCACTGGGCCACTTAGTAATTAATAAGTAATAATACAAGAATAAACTGTTTCACATACTAACAACAGTAAACCCTCTTTTACCCAACCCTGAATTTAATGTCCAAGGACTCTTGCCTTGTTCTCATTTTCTTTTCCTTTTTAATAGCCTGTTCTTGTTTCATGTATGCATATTTCCCTTTATCTCTCTGAGATTTTTAGTGAAAAATCGACAACAACCCTGGTTTTCTTCTCCCTTTATAGCCTTGTTTTTTCAGTTTATTCTTACGACATATTTAACATTAGAATCTTTCTCCTAACATCTGGTGATTCCTGGTATCTGCCAAGTGGGGCAGAAAAAACCGGACTGGAAGTTTTGTGTGTGTGTTGGATAGGGCTTGTCAGCCATGGGCTTTGCTCCGAAGTGATCTTGTTTGCTCTCATCAGGAGCCCCTCCTGTCACTATCTTTTTTCTCTTTAGCTGGCCAGAGAAGAATCTTGCAATCTCCTCTCTGGAGAGTGTGTGTCGGGCTTCCAGCCTGCAGAAGAGAGCTTGGGCAGTATTTACATTTTCATTAGATCCTCTTGTTTTTAATGTACTTATCCTCTCCACAGAATAAACCTTCCGTGTTTTTTTCTGGGGTGGGGAATGGTCACCTAGATGTAATGAGTTGGGGAGGATATCTAATTGCTTCCTGCTAAAGCTAGCTCTCTTTTCTGCCCTGTTTCCCAGTTTTACAGTGCAAATTAGAATTCTTTCCAGTCTTCACTATCACCAGCTTAAAAGTCTGCTTTCTTGGCTCTTCTGTCAGTTACTACTGGACATTAAAAAAAAAAAAATTTAACAAGAAGAGGAACAGTCGTAACAATACTTTTTGAAGCTTGTTAAAAGACAGCTCTCAGGGCCTCTTTCCTCTTAATCTAACTCAGCAGCTCTGGTGTAGGCCCTCAATCCTGAACCTATAACAAGGATCTCTTGGGAATTTGAGTAAGTGGTCCAGGGACCACAATTTGGGAAACTGGCTTAGATAGCATTTTGCCAGAAATTATCATGGTTGCTTGAGTCTGGAAATTTCTCTGAAATTCCCTTGTTCCTGGCCGTTGGGGTTAAGGCGGAGAGCACTTTTTTTCCCCCACAAACAGGGAACCTACACAGCTGTGCTGACTCACTTTGGGGTGTCTTTATGGGGCCTCATGTGTCAGGCGAACATTTGAGATGGTAGGGCTTTCTAAAAGCCTTCTTGTCTGCCTGGCGGTGTGGCTCAGTGGTTTAGCCTTGACACCTGCACCAAGAGGTCCCGGGTTAATTCCCCATCAGGGCATGTAGGTGGCATGTGTGTTTCTCTCACGGATGTTTGTCTCTCCCTCTCTCTCTCTAAAGTAATGAAAAATATATATATTTTAAAATTAAAAACCTTCTCCTCTGCATCCAGAGGTTTCTTAAAATTCAGGAAGCAAGGCTGTCAGGCAATGTAGTACCTGGATTGGCTTTTGAAAACAGTAACTAGAGACAATGAAGAAGGAGGCCCGAATGCCCTTTGGTTCAAGAAGGAACAAGAAATGGCCACTCAAAATCTGGAAGAACATTTTTTTCGGGTCCTGGTTCTGCTCTGCACCTTAACTTTTTGTGTTCAAACAACGCTCTTCTTTCTTCGGAGGTCCTACCCTAGAAACTAGTCTGTTAAAAGCCCCCACACTCAAATCCCTGACCCTAGGAGTTGTCAACACCCTCAACTAGCGGTTGGGCCTGGAGTTGGGGGACTCAGGCTGCTCACTCAGGTGGCGCTGTCTAAGGAGTTGCACTTAGAGCTCTTACAGGCACCAAATTCCTTGCAGGAAGGCCCAACTGTCCTCCTAGATCTGCCTTCAGGCCACAGCGGGGGATGGTAGTGTCAGGCCAAAGGTCCCAGGCAGAGAAGCCCACATGGACTCGTGCTGCGCAGCCTCCCATCTCCAAAAGCTCGGAGTTTCGGGGCGCCTGGCAGCCCCGACGGGCGCGAAGGGCGCTCCGTGGCCAAGGTCACCACGTCACTCCCGATCTGACCCGCTGCTCCCGCCCCGGTTCCCGGAGACGCGAGCGACACGGGCCGCCGCTGAGGGTAAGCGCTGCGCGATCCCGGGGCGATCCGGCACCGGCGCCGGAGCGCGGGCCGTTCCCGGGACTCGGGGGCTCCTGGCGGCGCCTCTGCGCGCCCGGGGCGCTGGCCGGAGCCCGGGTTCATGTTCAGATCAGCGGCGGCTTTGCGGCTTCCGCCCCGGAGAGCCGTGGTTCCGGGCCTTCAGGTGCGCGCGGACCACGCGCCCCAGTGGCGGGGGCGGGAATGCCCGGGTCCTCCGCCGCCCCAGGCCCCCCGCTTCACCTTCTGCCCTTGGCCGCTTTGCACAGCCAGGCCCCGGCCTGCCCTGACCGTCCACTCCCGGCTGCCGGCCCGGACGAGCTGCCAGCTTCCCCTTGGCTCCGCTCACCAACCCCCCTTGGAAAACACACCACCGGAAGGGGGAGTTTTGGGCCCCCGCGAAGGCTTTTCTGTCCCAAAAGGGCCAGCCTCCCGAGCACCTGGTTTTAATTAGAGCACAGGGAGAAGGATGGCCCTGGGCCTGAAGGATCCCCAAGAAATCCTGTCCATAGAGAGAAGGGAGAGTGCACGTGGATTGTACGTGAGCGCCTGCACTCACTGCACGAGACCTCGTGCACTTTTCAACTTTCACTGTAGCTGGGAGAGGATGTAGGTGGCCTAGATGTTAGAAACGGGAGACAAACAGCAGTGCAAAACACATTAGCATGGAGGACAAGGCGTTTGCACAGTTACTTACAATGTATTCTTTTCTTCCCGCTTTTCATAACAACAACAAGAAAAAAAAGGAATATTGAAAAACAACCCCTGCTTGGCTTTATACTCCCACCACGATAATCCACGGGCACACATTCTTTTTTTTTAATTTACAAAATTGCAATTTTAGGCACACGGCATTCTTATTTCAAATCCCGGAACAAGGGAGGTAAATTACATCCCAACAGAACGGAAGTCTTCATTAATTCTGAGGGGGAAAATGCGCTCCCAATTCACGAGCTGAAAGCTAAAGATTGTATCACGCTTTCAACCTACATATTATGAAAGTTTAAAGGATAAAGGACATGAAAGGCTTTTGAAAAAGTCCCTTGTGAGACATAGAACTATATATTCTCACACATTCTTTTTTTCTTCTTCATTTAAAGCCAAGGACGAATTTCTTTTCAACATAGCACTTTTATCTTTCTACTTTTAAGAAAATAACTTGCTCTACTTTGTACTAGAATTTTGAGGACACTAATTTTCATCAGACATTTATTAAAACCCTAATCAGCACTTAGTCAGAGGCTGAGGGTCTTGCACTTCTGTTCCTTCGGCCTGGAATTCTTTCCTCTTGTCTTTGCTTTGCAAGACCCTTCTTATTCAGATCTCTGCTCAAATGTCCATTTATCTGCCCACCCCCTGACAACAACATTTTATTTTCTTCCAAGCACTAACCACACTCTGAAATTATTAACTTGATTATTGCTGGCCCTCCCACCTCAATGACAGAAGGGACCTTGCTGTTTTAGTTGTTATTATAACCTAGAACCATACCCCCCACTCCCCATGTCTACTAGGACTGACTTTTAGGAAATACTTAAACACACACACACACACACACACACACACACACAAAACAAGTTTGCAGTACAGAGTTGTAGCCTTGGGAGCTCTTGCTAAGCGAAATGACCCTTGAGGAAATACGTTTAGTGTCCTGTTCCCCCACCACTTGCCTTTAGGGTGATTAGATGCAGCCTCTGTCTCTTCTTAGGGCCCCACCCACAGTGACCCAGGCCAGCCCCAGGAAGTAGACCCTGGAGGCAGCTGGGGCCTCTGGCATTTTTTTTTTTTTTAAAAATCTGGATTTTTGGACTAGAGACTGACTGGGATTCTCCCCCAGAGGCCCAGGACTGCTGGCTGTGCAAACCCCCTGACCCTTTAGCACTTCCCAGTGCTTGGCTGCACGCATGAGGTTCCAAGGTTCCTGGTGGGAGCTGCTCGTGAAAGATGCTCTGTTATTGTTGGACTCCAGGCACAGGGAATAATTAGGGGAGTGACATGAGCTAAAGGCAAGGCCTTTCCTTGTGGGCTGGGGCATGCAAGGCTGCAACTGGCCTGCTCTCTGGCAAAGGCCATGGATTCCTGCAGATTCCTACGATTCCTACGTGGTTCACTTCACTTCTCTGAGGAAGCCGTGGTGAGGAAGAGGCTGGGAGTGGGGGCAGAAAAGTTTGGAATTTCCCGTGGTTCCTTGGGGATTGATTGTTGTTGAGAATTACCATGGGCAATGCCAGGTGGAGTGTCTGGGCCTGCTCGTCCTTTCCTCAAGGCCGCACAGGGCTCTAGGGTGTTCTGGGCGGCCCTGGCCAGGGCCTGCATGTGGAATGGGCGGAGTTGGAACAGCAGCGAAAAGAACCCAGTGTTCTGGGAGCCGTCAGTTGCCAACAAGGAAGAAGCTTGTCCTGAAGTTCAGCATGGTGCCTGACACGCAGTGGGAGTTTAATAAATGTTCATTCAGATTTGAAGCTTGTGAGTGTCCTTCAAACTGTTTCAAGCCTGGATATGTCCGCGAACATAGGCTCTGCATGGGTTCAAGTCCTGGTGGCTCCGCTTACAAATTGTGTGTGAGCATGCTATTATACCTCCCTGTGCCTCACGCTACTCATCTGTAAGAGGCGGGTAATAATGTTATCGCTTCATGGGGTGGTCATGGATTAAATGTAGTAAATATTGGAAAGCATTTGGAACAGAGCTTGGCATAGGAAGCCTCATGCCCAGCACACTGGGTTCTGGAACCCGGGTCAGTTTGCATTTGCCCCTTTCTTCAAGCTCCTGTTCCAGGTCCTATTTTGTCATGCCTCCTATTTATAGCATATGAAAAGTGCAATACCAGCTTTGAAAAGAAGATGAGTGTGAATTTTCTACTCATGGCGGAAGGGTTGGGATTCTGAAATTTTTAAGAAATACTTACACTTTCTCCTATAGGCCTGGAGGAGGAGGAAGCCCTGTTTCTATCATTGTTGCTCTTGCTACTGCTCTTGTTTCGGTATGTTTCGGTATGTTTCCTTCCTAACAGCGTCCTTGGGTTTTAAAACACCAGGTGTGTTTTTTAACACTGTATCATCCACATCTCTGGGTCCGCTGCAAGCTGTCCAAGTGACATTTAGGACATGATTCCAGTTAAATCAAAGGCTCCCTGACCAGAAAGTCAACCCTGTGAGTTTAAAAATTTTTATACATAATATAAAATTTACCATTCTGACCATTTGTACATATATATTTCAGTGGCATTAAGTAAATTCACGTTGTTTTTCAACCATCACCAGCATTCATCCCCAGAATTTTTTCTTCTTAAACTAAAAAATCTATATCCATTAAACAGTAATTCCCCACTCTCCCAGCCCCCAGCAGTCACCATTCTACTTTGTGTCTGTGAGTTTGACTACCTTAGGGACCCTGTAATAAGTGCAATCATACAGTTATGTGTTCCTTTGCATCTGGCTTATTTCACTCAGCCTAATCTTCAAGGTTCATCCATGTTATAGCATGTGTTAGAATGTCCTTCCTTTTTAAGGCCGAATAGTATTCCATTATATGTTCATACCATGTGTGTTTCTCCTTTTGTCTGGCCATACCAGTAGACATTTGAGTTGTTTCCACATCCCTGTGTTCTTGATTAAATTCTGTAAATACTGCTTGTATGGGACTTCATTCTGTACAAGTTGGAGATGCCTTTTGGGTTTGATTTAATTACATATCCTATATAATAAAAGCCTAATATGCAAATAGACCAAACGGCAGAACGACCGGTCACTATGATGTGCACTGATCACTAGGGGGCAGATGCTCAACAACCCAGGAGTGTTGCTCCCACAGCGGGGAGCCGGGCTTCTGGCTGGCAAGTGCAGTGGCATGGCAGGAGCCTCTCCCGCTTCCGTGGCAGCACTAAGGATGTCCGACTGCCTGCTTACAGGGAGCAGGCCTAAGCCATTAGTTGGATATCCCCTGAGGGCTCCTGGACTGTGAGAGAGTACAGGAGGGGCTGAGGGAATTTCATGCACCGGGCCTCTGGTGTGCTGATAATAGAAAATTGCAAGCTATCTCACTAAATTAAGATGGGAAATTGGGCTCATCAAATTTTAGAGAAAATAATGACTTTAAATACCAATTTCAGGTGGGCTTGGATAGCAGCGGTTCTGTACTTGATGGGGGTGTGTTGGGGAGAGAAGAGGGATGGAGTAGGTCCCAGGAACTAACTAGTGATTCCTAGGAGAAGAAAATGCCTTTTAGTTTGGGAAGGGAGCAGGACTTACTCAGTTAGCAGTACAGTTATGGGCCAAACCCCAGTGCTTTCCTAGACCTTTGCAATGCTTCAGGCACTTGGAAAGAGGGTGGAAAAGTCAATAGATTGGATGGAAATCCATACCCAGACACCATGCAAAATGCTGCTTAGTAGGCTGATGTGGGTTCTTAGCTTTTAGTTGGAAAGATTAGAATGGGGGGACCTGGGAACCATTACAGTCCTGAACTCAGCCCAGTTTCCCACACTATCCTTTTATCCTTCCCAGAAGACTTTGCTTGGGGGAAAACAAAATTATTTTGATTGAGCTATTTGGTTGGAATAATTTCAAAGCTAATTTAATGAGGCTGTTTACCCATTGCTAGCCTCATAGGAAACCAGCTTTTTCATTTGAATCTACTGGTTCCCAAATTATCCATCCAGGTACCATACATTAAATTCACGAAGGTGCCATAGGATATTTTAATATTTTGAGGGAAACACAACTATATTGGACATCTCAGGGATACCCAAGAACTACTAGCTCTAGGTTTGACGTGTTCATGGTTTCAACATTAGATTGTGCTACATTCCTTTCGTGTCATTGGGGTTTTGGTGGTAGCTTTGATGATGATCAGTGTGGAGCAGGAAGTGAGGGGAGCAGTGTATAATCTGATTCCAAAGTTTAAGACGTTGTATAATGGCCAATACATAGTCCAATATTAAGTGAAAGTGATTATTTAAGTAAAAGATATATATAGTTTTT